ATTTATTGCCGTATTTATAGCGGCACCTTGAACAGTGTCCGTATAGCAGTCGAGCGAGATGGCCGTTCAAGTTTGCACCGGGCGCATTCGATCGCACCGCGATAAGGGATGCAATTTTTGGAGTCGTCGATCGAACCGCAGTCGAGAGGTTGCCGAGTCATTTTCGGTTTTTAGAGCGGTTTCTAACCTTCTTGCCGCGAACGATAGAACACCTTAGTAATAGAATAGCACCTCCTCAAGTTGCATTTAATATCATAGTTATTTTTTAAATCACCCTATACCGTAAGAAGAACTACCAGTAGATTACAGTTCCCATGGTTAATTCGCTAACCTCGTAAACCAATGTACGTGGATTTTGAGTAAACTACAAAAGATCTAGTTTAAAGCGGCTATCGTTTAACCGATTACGGTACTAAAACCGTCAGGGTGTACATCCTCGTACCATGAACAACGGTAAAAAATGTACAGCGACGGAAACGATGTACGCGATCTCTCTTCTTGGCCGCCGTAAAAACATTTATCTGGACGGGCGATCCCGCGAGCAGGGCAAAATGTGGTCGATGAAGGAGGAACGAAGGCGAACGAATTAGCATGCACGTGCACGGAACTTTAAAGTTTAAACTGACGCAATGTATGCGATAGTCGCTGGCGGAGGGCATACCAGCAATCCGTTAATATGATACAGCGTTCAATAAAGAAGAGTAGCCGATTAGATCGGGCTTGCTACCGGCAAGGAATCGCAAACGAAACCGTCGGAGAAAATTTACTTACGAAAAGAACAGATTAAGAATAGATATTCCGAACCAAGTCTATTAAAATGTACGTTGTGACTTGAATCTTTTACTTTTGTTTCTGTTCGATCGAACGATGACTCGAAAGAACTGGCGCATCGTCCAGGTTTCACCTTTTATCCTCGAGGCAAATATCTACTACGGTCATTAGACGGTAATAGCGCTGGCAACTCGTCGCCCTTTTTCCTCTCGGTTTCCTCTAGTCGCGGGGGCCAGGTTGTTCGCGCTAACCCGCCATAAATCCTCCACGCAGCCGATAGTTCGCCCCGTGGTTTCGGCAATGACGTACGATCGACGTGGCCCATAACTTAAGGCGGAATCAAAAGCAGATTACCCGTCTTGTGTCTTCCCCGTCGCGAACCTATCTCTTTCCAGCCACCCTAGCCGTCCCGCCGACGGTGCAGCGCCGCGGTGGTGCAATTTATCCTATTAACAAATTACCCTCTCACCTTCGTCTGTTAATGTATGCGCCAGTCGAGGCGGCGTCGCGGGCTCGCGGTGTGCGGGAGACACGAGGCGCAATCACTTCGCCCTTCGACTTTCTCCTCGATCCATGCAATCCCAACCGGTCTGACCTTTCGCAAGCAACCGTTGATCTTTCGACTCGAAGCTTAAGAGTCAGAATTACTAAAAGCGATCGACTAACAACGATTACTAAAAACGGGAACAACGCAGCCCCTAGAACCGAGTCTATCCGAATGGTAACAAGGACCTATTTAGGCTTTCTTCTATACATGTATACCTATCAGGTTAGTACTTGGGATTTTCAAGCTCGAAAGCACAGTTTTCGTTTGTATAATTATCGGCGATAGTCTGGATATCGGTTATCGCCGCGTCATGGTAGATTCGCTGGAGGGCTTTTCCTTTCCGCTCTTTTGTCCATATAGTTCCTAGACGCGTACTCGTTGCACGAGACAAACGTTGACACGGTGTCGTTGATCGCGCAACTGATTGCTGTCGCGTATTACGGTTGCTAACCGACCCCAAGACCAAACTGCCGACAGATTTCTCGTTGAATCCGTATCGCGCAATAAAGATCTCCTAATAACGCGGCGATAAGACGGTCTTGAGAATGTTTCGTCGTCGAACGTTAGTTAACAGGAACGTATGCGACGGTGGTGACAGAGATTCCGGGGATTTGTTGTCCGGGTGTCGCGTCTTGAAAGGACGACGATCGTCGGAAGGGAGACGAAACGGGAGTAGAATTGCGGTGGCTCTCGTCGGTGCTGTAAAGTTCGCTTAATTAAGCCACGGATTAAATTCCGGGCACAGGCCAATTTTCCACGAATCGTCATTTATCGAGCCGGGCTGCGAGCGTTATGCAAATCGTGGAGCTCGCATAATTCAACGCTGCCTCGCGGATTAAGGCCGGGCGTTCCCATGCAAATGTCGCGCGACCGAACGAGCTAGATTCTGTCTCGGGGAAGGAACGCACCACGACGACCTACAGACGTGCTCCTATCGAGAGACATTGATACTCGTTCACGCGCGAGAACGAGAACATCGAGACTGTTTCGTTTCGTGGAAATTCGTCGGTGGTTTGCGGGTTTACGGTGCAGCCGGAACTGATGCGAGTCGCGTCGCGTCGCATCGCGGGCTATTTATGCCCGTTCGGTGACTCGTAACCGGCTGCATCGCAATTTGTTAAGTCAACGGGGGTGGAGACGGGGATTGGTTTATGGACTTGCCAGGGGTGTTGCGCGCTCGAGTAAGAAAATGTATGCAGATTGGTGCTGTGTTTAGATTTTGACGAGACCACGCGAACCGTTGCTAGTCTATATAGCTGTGTAAGTCGTCGTCGCCGCGCACTATTACGAGCGACGATATACATATGTACTTATCGGTATAAAATGAAAAGTATTGCTCGACACGATGAAATATCTCCTAGACGACAAACTTAAAATACCATATCCAGAAAATACTATACTACCAAAATCTCCTTCTTTTCCAGAAACAATGAATTTGTTTTTCTTTGATAAAATTCTTAATAGCTGAAGAATTCTTCTGAGATTGTAATTTTTTACAAAGATCACACATGCCTGGGTGCGTGCCGTGCAAAATATGCGGAAAATTTACTGCTTTTTAGCTAGAGACGTCGTGAAATTCCGCGTCGAAATTGTTTCGAAACTATGCGTGGTCATGTATTTTGTCTCCGCGACGACGCAAAAAACCTGGCCGGACACGTTGGTTCGCCGCTCTTCTACAGACGTTCTCGTTCATTGTTTATGGCATTGCTTTTCTTTCTGTTAGTCTATCGGCGATTTTTCTTTTAAATTTTTATCGAAACGATTTTACTTTCTTCTAGACGCTTACGACCGTCAACGACGCGTTTCTCAACCGGAGGATTCCTCTGTTGCTTCCTTGGTCTTTGCAATTTTCCTTTCGCTACGTAATTGTTTCGAAACTCGGTATTGGAAGCAAAACGATTGCGAAAATTCATGTAATCGCGATTACGAACGAAAGAACGACTGAAACCGATCGATGCTCATTTACCTATACAGTACTCGTTAATATAATTGCGTAGTTAACCAATTAACGCTGTTAACGTTAAGTAGTTATGCAACTCGTTGTACGAAACAATCCAAGTCACTGAACGCTCATCGACACATAATTCATAGGCAGTTGAGCAATTATTACAGACACGGTTACGGCAATTGCTCGTGCAATTTATTCGCGATCGAATCGTCGGCTTTGTACGGAAGCGACCGTGCACGAGGAGAGATCGATTTCGACGCGGTTCGATCGCGATATCTCTCCGGACGATTCATAAAGGCACCCTTGCGCGGGTATTTTGTACGCGTGGTCGGCATGGAGCGGCGGGAGGTTGCGGTGTAGTTGCGTGTGCGTGACTGGACGATCGCGCGGCCCTTCGCGTTAACGGAACCGACGCCCGCCAATCTGATTGGCCTATCCTTCTCGTAATTGCCTGTAGATCCCAATCGCGATTAGTCGGGAAATTAATACGGTTCTGGACCTGGGAATTTATGCGACTCTGACGTGGATTATGCATATAGGATACTCGAGCCGCGTGGCAATAACCGCATCGTAACGGCGTGCTGGAGATCCGGATAATCGATTTTTCGCCAACGGATGGAATAGATTGATTTTCCGGGAGAAATGTGGGTCGATCGAATGGTGCGAGCGACGCGACACAGTGTCTCGCGCGATTGATTACTCCCTCTTCCGTGATCGGGTCCAGCAGTTTTCGAGCGACGCGACGACCGAAGAAAGAAGACGGACGCTCGTCTGGCCGCGAGCATCCGACAAAGAGAAACGTATCCAATGGTATTAGCGTGAAAGGGTGGACTGGTACGCCATCCCTAGCGACGCAGGTCAACAGCCATTGTCCGACGGAATTACCACCACCGGTCTCCTGTGATTAAATGCTGACCCTCCCCCACACCGGTCCATGGAACAGGATCGCGGGAGCGAGCAAGAGGCTTTAAGCTGAGAGAGTAACGTCGAGGGAGAGCCAAAGGGATACGTACATACCTATACGAGGGCTGGCATTCTTGCATACCTATACAGCTCCTCGAACCCTGCCAGAATCCCAGGACCCTCGTTCCATCGTTCGCCCCGATAATGTCCATTGTCTCGAGCATCCCACGTATCCTTCCTCTTGGACGAACCGATATCTGGAGAAGCCTACCTGAAACGGTCACCGCGTCGCGACGCCGTGCCGCGCTGTGCCCGAACGCTACCCAAATGACCGCTTAAATACACGCGCGATTACGGCTCGGTTGCCTCCGGCCCTCGTGAACCGTCCGAGGAACGCGGCCTCGGTATTCAAGTGCAAATAGCCCCGAACGTCATTCGCAACTTCCGATCTTCGTGCAGCCGGGACGCTCTCATTGTTGTCGGGACACGGGAGCTCGACGCTCCGGGTACTACGAAGCGTTTACATTCCCGATCATCGACCATTCATCGAGAGCAATTGGACCTGGAAGATTATGGTACTCGAAAGAAAACCAACCGGAACAGTTGGGATTTTTCGAAACGCGAATCTTCGTTTTTAATTTTTAAGTTGGAGCAGGACGAAATTCGATCAAGTAATTTGTAGAACAACGCAGATGTTTGCTAGAAACGAGCTTTATGTACAAACACGGGCTGCTGCTTCTACACAATATGATTCTACATCGATCTCTTCTTTTTTAGATGTAATATATGTATACGTTTTGTTTTCTCATTATTTACAAGATATTGCAACGTTGTAAAAGATGAATTTTCATTTGGCAGTGGGGATCGATGTCTTAGATCCATGGGCCGAGGCGGCTTTCTAGAACGTTGGCGGCATCGACGCGTCCCATAAATCTTAAGAGGTTCAGAAGATCCGTGAGAGCCGTGACCTCCTGGTGTTTCGCCTCCCAAAGATCCAAAATGTGTTCCGTTGGGCTCGCTTTCGTCGCGAAATAGTCAACGTATCTAAAAATAAACCCCCGTAAATCGATTTGGTCGCAAGTTCATCTTTCGTAACGCAACTATCCGAGACATAAACTCACCGATCTACTTGTAGTCTTTGTGCTAGCATTCTCCAGTCGTTTCCTCGAGCGCTAGGCGGATCGAGGCACTGGCATAGCTGTTTCCTCAACGTCTTGGAAAATCTTTAAGGAACGGAAATATGGTCGCGTTAGCATCGTAAATGGAATCTAACAGAGCACACTCTAAGAGGGAGATTTAACGAAACCTGAATGGTCTGGGAACAACCGATTCGGTAGTCCTGCTAGAATTTTTCCCACGTAAAACGACCGAGGACTCTGTCTTCGTGATCCTCTTTCCGCTCGAACCATGTTTCTTCATCGGATCCAGGTCGATTCTCAGGAATAGCGTGTCTTCTTCGAAACCACATTGACAAGCTTGCAGCGCGAAACTGAGTCTCACCTCCCCGAGAGTTTTCTCGATCCCGAAGGATCGCCGTATACTCGTTCTCGTCGACGACCAGATTCGACGGTGAAGCACTTCCTGACGTTCCACGAATCCGCTTTCTCTGTCCTCGAGGTCGATGCGAAGCGGTGCACCACCCGCCCTCAAGCCTAGAACTCCATGATCCATACGAGTCCCGCCTAATCGGCGCTCCTGAACAGATCGAGATACACGGAAGCGTAAGATCGAACGAAATTTGATCCTCGACGATCGTACTCGATCCAAACGAAACTCGCAATCTTTGAGAGAGAATATAAGGATAGAGGAATATCGAATGTGGAAAATTAAAAAAAAACAACCTGTTCCGCTAGAAGCTTGAACGCCGCCTTTGTGTCCTGCATCAGATGACACCTGATGTGATCTCGCTCGCGCGACAAGTATACTGCCACGCAAATCCTTTTCACGGCTAGTCCTGGTGCTACGGCAGAATTCTCGCCAGCAACCGCGTAAACGCTCGGTGTTTCGGTAACCAGGAACACCCTGGAGTGATCGAGCTGCGCGAAAGGCTGCCCGGGAAGATTAATCGGCTCGCCGCCCAACGTCAGTATCTTGCGCCACGTCGTCGCGGACGCGACGTTGGAGTTGCTGGACGACGTAGTCGAGTCGTTGGAACGTGTCTCCGTATCGAGATCCGTCGACCAAAGGCTTAGCTCCCAGTTGCCTGTCCTGAGTTCGGCGCAATGCTCGAACTGAAGAATCACAGGTTTCACCAGGTCGATACCGTTCGGTCCACAAGCTACCACTGCCGACAACAGAGTCAAACCGGCTGGTAGACCAGGCCTCGAGGAGTCGTCTCCGAGGACTGCAAGATGAAGACTGTGCCGTCGACCGCGAGGAATCGCACCTTCCGGGACAGACATGGAGACCCCAGCTTCGGGGACTACGAGAAGAACGCCTTGTTCGTCGACTATTGCTCTCACGATAAAGCCGCTCGTGTCCTCGTGACCCTTGTTGTCGCCTCCGGGTCTGTCGCCGTCGCGATCGTCGTCGTCGTCGTCGTCATCGTCGTCGTTGTCGTCCTCGTTGGTGGTCTCCGCGTTACCTTGACACGTGGAACCTAATGGTTCAAATACGTTACCAAACCCACTATCCTACCAAAACGTATAAAACGTGGACGGTCGTTGCTTACGGGACGATCGACTTTCTTCGTTGTCGGACAATCCCCGGCCACGGTGGGAGTTTCTACAAGAGGACCTGGTCACGGAAGAGCTGGGAGATGGTCTGGTCGTCGAAGGTAACGAAAGCTGCGGCACGTCGTAGTGATGCTCCGAGCAAGACCTAGACATCATCAAAGCGACTTTCAACGGGGGACAAAGATCGATCAGGGTTTCATTTACCTAGGCATTCTGCTCGCGTTCGACTCGTCTATCACTTGCTCTAAACGTCTGTCGACGGAGAGGGCTGACCGATCGTTCTTCGAGACTACCGACTTTCCTAGGTCACCCGGTCGACGAAAGTCCAGCCTTGCCACTCCGTACAAAGCTTCCAACCTTTCTTTTCGACGCATTAGACGCACGAAAAAGATGGTCGTTAACGCCAGAAAGATCGCAGCCAAGCTCAAAATGATCCACAAGGCCAGTATGCTTCTGTGGTCGATCGTTCTAGCTGCTGCGATACAAACCGAGCTTCAGACGCGCGTTTCACGAACTAGATACGATTTTGGTGCATTTACCTTCCTTGAATACTCGAGGTCCGTCTTGTCCGAGGGCTGCGTGCGACAATAGATTAGTTGTACGCTATTACGCAGAAACACGATCACTTTTAATCACCGTGTCGATGAGCTGCAAGCTACCGACAACTACTATTTCGCGCGCATCTTTAATCTTCCTCGTTCCGACTAATCATTTTTCGAAAAAAAAAAATATTCGAAACCTCCGACGATCGGTCGAACGAAGGCGATTACGGTGCAGTCCTTAAAGAGCTGGTTATAATCGCGAACCAAACGATCCGAATTTTTTGCGAGTCATTATTAATTTAAATCGTATCCTCTTGGCCGCGAACAACGATCAACGATCAACGATCAACGACCAAGGAGCAACGGATGCGACGCGAGAGCAAAGACAGCCGTTCGCTCGTAATAAATTGTTCGGTGCTGGCCGAGTCACCGAGAACAATGAAAAAAAGGGAAAAGAAACGAGAAGAACGCAGCTGGAGCTCACCGTTACATCGATCCGCGGAACAAGACTCGACGATGACGTCCTTGCCTTGACAGGGACGACCACCATTGCTCGCCGGGGGGTCGTTGCAGGATCTCCTCCTCGCTCTGGCACAATCGGGACCGCATGCGGACCACGAGGACCAACTTGACCATCTGCCGTCGATCGCTGAAAGCAACGGGTCAAGTTGAAAATCCCGATTAAATCTCGGTTATCGGATCGAACCAGCCCACGAGGGTAACGGTTAGATCTGGCCGTGCGGTGTAATTTGTAGAGCCCGTCGTCGATACGAAAACGATCCGATCTGCGTCAGAGACCGTTTCACGTAGCTGGATTAATCGTATAATTAAATGCTCGTGCATTTGTTGCTTACCGGGGCAGGAAGGATTGCATTCGACCCTTTGCGTGGCTGGCCCTGGACAGGTTTGACCTCCGTTGATGGCCACTGGGTTCGTGCAGGTTCGTGTTCTCTTTTGTACACCTCGACCGCAACGGGTGCTGCAATCTGTCCATCCGGACCAGGAAGACCACCCGCCGTTTACTGGGAACGAGTTAGGAACAGCCGGAACGTTAGAGCCGGAGCGGATCGAACGATTCGACGGGGTAAAGAAACAGAGTTATGTATCGCTTCCTAAAATTGGGTTTGGCAAAAGGTCTCACCGTAAACCGTCAACACGGCCGGTTCGCTGACCCGCCTCGCGGCGATGTTCTCGGCCACGCAGGAGTAATTCCCCTGGTGCCTGAGCTCGGCCTCCCCCAGTATCAGGTGTCCGTTGCCGGTCTGCAGGAAGCTTCCGGATGACACCTCGTTCAGGATACTGTCCGGGACGGGCGAGGGTGGTGCGGTCGATCCGAGTATCGTCTCGAGAGGCGAGCCGTTCTTCAACCAGTAGACCTTGGGTTGTGGCACCCCGAGCGGTGCCGAGCAACGCAATTCCGCGTTCCGTCCAGCCTCCACGGACACCGAGTACGGCGGCGACAAAAAGTGCTTCTTCAGGTCTGCGTCCGAGGGCAACGCGTGGTTTTAGTTTTAATATTTGCTCGATGAACAGACCGTGGCAAACAGAACGCGAGGGAGTAGGGCACTCAGCGATATTAGGCCGCGTGTATAAATGCAAGGGTGCTTTCACGAGCTGCGTCTATACATATACGTACCGTGCTCGAGCGGCGCTGCTACTAGGAAAGCCAGAAAAAGATTTGCTCGATCCGCGGTCACAAGGGTGGCTGGCTATTCGTCCGGCCAGCCACCGGCTATGGTATATTATTCGGTGTGCCGTGTATACGCGGAAAAATAGCTGCTTTTATATCGTTCGTAAAGAGCGGTAAGCTGTGCCACACACGCGGCACACCGATGCACCGGCTACATTCTTGCTCTATATGCTCGTCTAGACTACTTTTGACCCGATGCCATATTGCCTGCCTGGCTCTCGGGCTGCTTTTTAATACGATCCTCGATGGAAAAAAATGAACGATTAGATACGCGTATGTGGTTTATCGAAATATCCTGATCTGCTATTTCCCTCCGCGGCAGCTAGACACCAACGATCGATTTTTATCCCGTTTAGATGGATTTCTCATCGCTGTATTTAATTAATTCTTACCATCGAACGCGTCTCTCCGGTTTCTTAGCGCTTATTGCGTCGCCGTCCGCTCGATATCGCCGTATTCAATTTCAAAAGCGCTACCGTTTCCTGTTTGCTCGCAAATACGGATTTAATTCTGCTTCCTGTTTGCCTCGCATATTTGCGCGCCGAGCCGCGTCCCTACACGACGCGTCCGAACCAAAATTGCTCTTCGTTTCCAACTGTCGCGAAAACAATCCACTTTCGTTTCGAGCGTAAGAAGGCTGGCAATGAATCGCGCGAGTTCAAGTCTCGAGAGAACCTGCGATTCAAAAGCGACGAGATAGAAAGTCTAACGAGGAACGTCTGTCTCGCGATTCGCAACAATTTTCATGTGATCCTTTGGAAATATCTCTTAACGTTGTATCAATTTTTAGCGAACGATTCGCAAACTATTTCTTTTATCTTGAAATTGTATTAATAGTTTGTAAACTGGAAAGCTTTGTTCATTGTCCGAACCAATTGTGGTCCACGGTAACGATCGCATCGATACGAAACGAAGCGTTTCCGTTGAAAGTGACACGCGGACAAAGATTAGTCGGAAGAATTGAAAGTCGTGGCGCATCGTCGTGCGGCCTGAATACCACTGGTTCGTGTGGTTCACAGACTGCCCTGCCAATTTGCATGGCGGCGATACGCGTTTGCCTTCCAAAACGAAAAAAAAAGATGAAAAAAAAAAAAAAAATGTCGACCGAACAATGGACGGTTGAAAGGGAGTTGAGCAATTCTGTAGGTGTTTGCTTTACAATAGAATATCGATTAGATTTGTGACTCGATTCACGCGTCACGAAATATCCGGCGAAAACAAGAGAACATCCCTCGCGGTGGCTAGTCGACAGCGAGCTTACGAGAGTGAATTTCACGTTGGGTATCTCGGAACCAGTTCGAGAGTCGGCTCATGCTAATCTGGTTAACCAAGTTACGTTTTATGATCGATTTCAGGTGGTGGTAGCTACCGGTCGTTTTTTCTCCCCGATCCCTCCCACCGAATCTCACTTTTACACTCCGAAGCTATAATATATTCGAATACGCTACGATTACACGATCGTTCGCTTCTAACGACACGTCGCGACGTTCAATTTATCCTCGCTGCCTCGGTTCTACCAAATCGAATTCTCCAATGATTTAAATAATAGAAATTATCGCTTGGCGGTATTCTCCTTGCAATTATAAATCTGCTTATGATCTATCGATACGTTTCGCTCGGACTGGAAAACGACGATCAAATCGATATAATATGTACCGATTTTTAACAAGCATTTTACCCAAAGAAATTAGTTCCATTAGTAACGTGCTATTCTGAACTTGTAGCTACTTTACAGGCAGCTTCTGTAATAACTCGCTGCAATTTTTAATTATACTCGGTCGACCGTAAGCTCATCAATTGGTGCAAAAATAACCATACGTTGTTAACGTCTCTAAATGTCACGTAATGCGTTTTTACGGTAAAAAAAAAACTCTGTTGGCGATGCACCCTTGCGCTATTAATAATTTCACACTTAACGACACCATCGGTGTGCAAAATCTGGCCGTTGCTTTCTCTCCCTCGTTGTTCTTTGTGGAGCATTATCAAATCCAATGTACTTTAAAGCAATGCATTTTACGTTAGTATTTTTAAAATGATTCTTTCTATTACGAATGATTGTTCTATCGGTGAGACGTCAAATTAATATTACTGACAAATAATAACATAAACGCGTTGGTTACGTTTATTCGTTCCGTCATGTACTACGATTGTCGAAATCTTATGTTATATTTCTAATTGCGTCGTACGTGAAAGCAGAACGCTAGAAGACGTATTCGATCGGGAATCGTGACTCGCGAGACCAGAATGAATCGAACATCGAGAAAAGGATCAAGATAGAGAAATGAGGGACAGAGATGTAGGCAAGATGAAAGGTAGTAAAATAAAAGTGGAAAGATTGGATAATTCTCAACTTACAAGCGACCTCAACCGTGGCGGGTTGCCCTCGAATCTGACCTGGTCCCGACCATGCCACGCACTCGCACTTGAACCTCTCCCTACCGAAGTACTCCTCGACCTCGTTCCTCGTCACGTTGAGTTCGACCTCGACGACCCTCGTTCCGGTACGAGGGTCGACAAAATCCTGGTGCTGCGACCGCTCAGCCCGGTCACCGTTACACCGAAAATACACCTGCAAACCAAGCGGAATAAGGTGCCGGGGTAATTCGCTACGCGTGAAAAAAGCTCAACGTGTTCGCGTTGAGTCGGCTTCACGAGTGGTTAATAAGGCTCGAGTGAAAAATTACGGTGACGATGATGGTCGGACCCTATTTTGCAGACGCGTGAAAAACGAAATAGGACCAAAAAACTAGAAGCAATCTGCCGGCTTTGTTTCTGCTTCGCGACACATCTCGCGGATCGCATTGTTTCTGCGACAAAGAACCGAGCGCAAAATGGATGCTGCATAGCGTGCTACTTTCTTCGTGCAAGCTACGCGTCGATGATACCGGAGTTAATTTTAACAGACAAACTCGGATCGCATATTTTCCGTACCTGAAGAGCGTGCGCCGCGCGACAGTGTAAGGTCGCCGGTTTTCCTTTCACGACGAACGCGTCGACGGGTTCTGCCAAAAAGATTGGCAACGAGCCACCCACGATAAGACCGGAATCACTAGTTATCGTCGCGGTTTCATAGTCACCGTAGTCATAGTCATCTACCGGATAATTTTCCTCGTCGTCTTCCTCGGTGTCATCTTCCTCCTTTGTATCTACGAACAAGGAACGAGCCACTGTATTTGAGGCTATAACGGAAAGATTTCGAATTATAGTACCGCGTACACCGAATCAACGGATAGCTGGGCATAGGAATTTCCATCGATGTCAACTTAATATACGTTTCGCATTCACCCGCAGCTCCGAAACGGTTATATTCGCCTATATCGTTATCGTTATCCTGCGAATATCCGGGCAAGATCAGACATAGCGGCCGAATGGTGTACGCAGAGAGCAAAGAGTTAATTGAACGGGCAAAATAGACCGCGCCAACCAAGGATCCGTGCTTTCCCTCGATCATCGTAACCGCGTTAACAAGCCAAATGACGTCGGACGATCGCGATCCAGCGATCGGACGTTCGCGATACGCGAAAACGCAACTTGGTCACGGTAAATTTAGACGTCCCGGCGCAGAGCGGCGCAGAGCGAGTGGCGGCCGAACGATGGAAACGGTAAAGCTCGGTTTAACGAGTGCGCGCGGGATTTTACGTCGTGTATCAGTCAGCGGGATCCGCTCGCTTAGGTGATCTCTTAGTCTTTACGCTTCGTGTACGCGGACCGTCTCTTTCGCTCTTAGTCTTTGGTTAGTGGTGAATCGCGACGGAACTTTATTACCGTGCAAGCGGCCGGCCGACCGCGTCTCTTGTTCGACCAGCAGCAGTAAACCAAGGACCGGCTGAACGACGATTACCCTTGCTGTCACACTTACGGGAAAACATGTCACGATTTCGAGCCGAGGCTTTGCAGAATATTAGCCTGCACGCGTAAATTCGCGCCGCAAATTTATCTCTCTCGGGCGAAGCTGTTTGCTTAGATTCGAACGCTTCAAATCCTCTTGGAGATGTGTTGTGACATTGCGTTCCTCGAGCGGATAGTGCTACCCATTTCGATATCGGATATATCTATCTATACGTATGGCGTTCTTTTCATAAAGCTTCGCGTACTATGTACATACATTGAACTAAAGGTTCCCGCGTCCGCAGACGCTTAAAAACACAACTCGATCAAAAGTCGATACAAGCTGGGAACGAAGATAAGATACGAATCATTGTCTAATTATTATTTTTAAATACATTTATTCCACTTATATTAGTGCGTAATTATCATCAGATAGAAAAGTAAACAAATCTATATCGACAAATAGATGAAGCGTAAGATGTACCGATGTACACGTGGCAAAAAGACATGGGTCGAATAAAAAGACCAAACGATCTTCTTTTATCTCCGATTGTGCGTCTCGGAAGATTAAACCGCGGATTGAAGAACTAAATCAGTGATCCTTACTTTCAAGGGTGCTGGCGAGGCGAAGAAGCGCTAGAAGCAGTATACTGATCTTCATCTCCATCCTGCGAGCTCACATCTCACTGGAACCTACTTTTCAATCAACGATCTTGATAAAGTAAAAATAAAAAATAATCGATGGCGTCGATCCTCGCGTTCTTTTAAAATTCCGACAACATTACACGCGTCACTGATAGAGCAACGTCTCTGGATCCGTCTAAATCATGGATCGACGTGATTCTCCATCGAAACTCGATCGATCGATCCGTCATCCGGCGCATCGAATCCAAGGTCGGTTCATTTTGAAGGTAACGGGTACCTATCGAGTCCTGTTAGGGATAACCCCTAGTTTCACGTTCCTAATAAAGAAACGGTCGGATAGAGACACCGGTGTCGTTAATTAGTCCCAGTTGTAAATTACATGACCGATCTATACGGTAGAGGGGTTTTGGTCGCACTTGGTCGGCTGCACTTCCGCTTTCGAGCGTGCAACGAGGGGATGAGAGAGACACGTGACCGGCCGATGGCTGCGAGTCCCCCGCACTATCGAAAAATTAGACGAAAGAATACGGGGGATTCGCAGTAGAGGGTTGGCTGGCTGCCCGATGCTCGCGGCTCGACACGCGGTAGACGACTGAACCTACCGACGTGCGCGCACCTCTATATATACATATATATACGTCTCGCTTCGATACCGTCGCTCTTCTTCATCCCCTTGTCGTCGGGGGTGGTGGTGGCGACGCCGTCAGGGTGGTGGAGATGGTTGCCGGCGGTGGTGGTGGCGGTGGCGATGCTGGTGGTGGTGGTAGTGGTGCTGGCCTGTGCTCGTGCCCTCGGAGGCTGCGCCTTCTTCCGCGAATCTCCGACGATCCTCCTTCCGGAACGGGAGGATCCGAGCGAGACGCGTGCTCCTTCGATTCTCTTATTTACCAGTTATTCGCTACGTCGGGGAACGGACCGGATGATAAAGAATCGAACGAGGCATCTTTCCATCGAAACGATCGTGGATCGCGATCTTTCGAAGAGAAATTAAAATTCGTTCCCACGAGGATGCAATTTTGACGCGTTCGTAACACGGGAGAGCAATTTTCTTTTCGTTGCAAGTGCATTTTGGTCCTGGTTCGTTGTTACGGTTGTTCGATCGGCAACTGGCCAATCCAGCGAACAACGAACCCGATCGGGTTGCACGCAGTCTACGAAGAAGAGATCACCGTCGAAAAGGATCCTCGCGGGAACGTATGGAATTTCCGACTGGTCGATCACCGTCGATCCGCTCGAACGTGAAATCGGATCTAACCACGGGAACGAGGTTAGAGGCGTCGATGTCTTTGCAAGGGGAAGGAAGGGTGTAACGGAAAACTAGCTTCCGAATCGGTTGGTTACCGATACCGGGGTTGGTGTAAATAAATCCCGCAACGGAGATCGGTTTCCGAAAACGACAGGATTGTCTCGCGTATACACATAGGACGCGTAGATACATAGAAGAAGGATAGGCGGCCCGACGTCGAAACTTGACTTACGCCGATAGCCTTCTCTCGTGGATGGTTATCGCGCGCCTTTACGACCGCTCGCTTTCCACCGAACCAAGGTGTGCAGCAGTCGCTTAAGCGATTTAACGTAAACACACGTAGCAATTTGTCCAGGGGTTTATGTCGCCCTCGGGAGAAGAGATCCCACGCGGTCGTTTGCCGCGATCCCGCCCGGTCTGGCTCTACGCGGGGTGAAACAAGTCGCGACCAAAGGAAACGAAATGTAAGTGCAAGGGAAGAAGAAAACGCGAGGAAAAGAATCTGTCGTGCGTTTTCTTGGAAAGAATGATAATCGCGATCCGTAGTCGCGACTAATTGCGACCGCTAATTTCGCACCGGTCGAACAAGAATAGCGGGACAGAAGACGAGCCGAACTAAGGACGGGACGGGGTCTTGGCGGGACGAATCCAACACTCGCGTGGGAGTAAGATGTACAACGGCTATCGTTTGAGCGACTCGGTACGTGTACGCGTCCGAATAAATTACCGCGCGCTTGTTCCTTGTATAGCACGTGATATATCATGCTAAATCGAGATAAGCGCCGCGGCGGCTCGAATTATTAACGCGCTCGCTTTACCCCTGACGAGCGCAATCGGTTCGCACGCGAATGCTTATTGCTAAACAGAATTACACCAAGGGAACAAGTTTTCTACGAACAAGACAATCGCGTGATGTCTTACGTCACCGTTAATACTCGCCTCTCCTCTTTCCTATTTATCTAGTCGTCACGCGTCTCGCCACCTGTTGTATTTTCTATTCGATGTACAAATTACCCTTCAAAATTACGTATACTCGATGCGACGCTAAAAACTATTATTCGTAAACTTGATCGTTGCGAATATAGCGGAACCGTAGTGTCAAGAGACGCGCCGCGATGATTACGTGCAAACGGACGATTTTAAACGAGGTAATGGCATTTTGCATCGTTAAACGCATATCGATGATCTCGTTTAAATCGGTCCCGTTAATTGTATCCGCGAACTGTAAACACAACTGACGAGCGACGCGACGCGTAACGATCAACTTGATCATTAAACATGGATAATGCATCGCGGTCCGGACGAAACTCACGTTGCAGAAGATGCGAAAGAACACGAGGCATACAACGGATGGATCCCACGACTATCTTTTATGCGATAAGATACTTGGAGGCCCCCGAAATCCTACAAATTTTCGAGAAAAAAATTCAATATAGGCGCAACTTTAAACGTTAATAACTTTTTAACGAAGTCTCGATCAACAAATTGGTATTCTTGATTTTCGTCTTATTTTGGCCTCTAGAATCTTCCATTAAAATTTTTCCCAGGTGTGGCCGAACACCCTGTGTACGTCGTGTGACATTTCTTTAGCTCATAAGCGTCATGCGACCCGCGATAATTCATCGTTTTTCTCTTGTATCGCGTACAAGCGCTTAATTAATTATTCGACAGGTGCTACGAGCGCTATACGACGACGGAAAAAAGTTTCACGAGACCTTTAAACGTCGATTGTTGCGAGATACCTATTATATCGTGTCTTCCGAAAATAGTTACAGATAACATAAAAATGTCTACTTCCTTGTAGTTGGGAAACGTGATCGCAGCTATGGAAATACATCGATTCGCGACAACGTACGCAAATCTATCGATGACGGTGGTCGAGGGACCGCGACGTGATTTCCTCGGGTCGATCGCGACCTTTCTAAGGGGTTCTATTCTTTACTACTCCTACGAAACTCTTTAATATTTCAAGAAACGCGCAGCTGTTATCTTCGCGGACTCGAGAAGCGAAGCCGATATTTTGCTATCGCGTATCGCTGGATAGAAACGGGAGCCAAACGGTAACCAATAGGTCTAGTTCCGGAGCGACGTCACTCGTTTAGGAAACGCGTCGCCGAACATTATTAATTCAACGACCGCTAAGAGGGATTCGCGGTTCGACCACGAACGTTACGGCGAAATACTTATTAGCCATCAGCTATTCATGGCGAAAGTTCTTGCGCGCGGGGCGACGCACAGTTGCCGCTGTATATTCGCGCAAGAAGACGAACGATTAACAACCGCCGGGCATGTACATACTGGCCAAGCACCGGACCCGTGTTCAGCCCGTGGTACGCTTCATTAACGTACGCTACTTCCAAAGCGGTTCACTGATATTCGAGGGTAACGGAGAAGAGCTTGACAAACATTCTTTCGGACGTTGATTTTATCGATCTCGTTTATTTATTTATTTATTTGTCGGTACGTAGATACAGAAGTACACACAATGCATAAACTCAATGAAATAACAATCGTGTTATCTGTAGGTATCGAATAGCGTTCGAGACTTGTATCGTTAGAGAGCGCAGCGCGCAGGGGAAGTTGGGTTCGTTCGTTACGTAATTCACCGTTTTGGTCAAATATTTTCTTACTCGAGTTTAACGAGAAAGACGACACGATCTCTGTACGGTTTAAGGACACCAGGAACGCTTCGTCGTGGAATAATGACGGTGATTTTCGTAGTACCTGCATGGGTATTTCGCGTTCGCAGTTCCGTCTCGTAGAGATTTTACGAGACGGCCCGGAACGACGGCCCAGCGCTCTGAAAGTCCGCTGTATGCCGATACACGTCCACGGAATATACGAAGAACGTGCGCCGTCGATGCGGAAGTGAAATTCACGCGACGGGGTTGAAGGGTTACTTTTACCGGATAGACGATCGTACGTTCGCATGGCCAACTACTCGATTGCCTCGTCGTTCATCTATTATGGCTGATACGAGTCTAAGTATATCCCTGGATCGTGCCTTCTCCTTCCTAGGAGAAAATGTGCACCGTCGTGCGACCAAGAACAAACTAGATATCTGTCGTACAACATGATCATTCGGAGGGGACAAAGCGAACAAGAGGGAAGAAACATAGACGCACGGTATACCGTCGATGGATCGTTTCTCGATCTTTTATTTACATTTGCATCCCCAGTTCTAAATTCTCTCCGCTGGTCGCGAGAGTACATTTATAGCGACGCACCGTTCCGCGGCATTATGCAAAACTTCCCACAAGCCTTCTACAGACACGCGGCAAGTTTCCCGCACTAAACTTCCAAGACTCCGAAGCCTGTCTCTTTTTACCTGTATGTGAAACTTTGCCGGCGAACGAGCTTCCACCACGAGACGGTCTCAAAACCGTTCCACCCCGTGGATGCTCGTGGATCCAGCGTGTCGCGGATTCGCCAAAAATCGCCACAACGATCCTCATGTTGATCCCCTGGTTCGAAGCAAAATCCTTCTTTGATCTTTGCGGACATATCGGGGAATTTCTTCCAGATTGGTTACGATCGGATAGAAATGAATCGGTGGTTCTGTATCGTACTTATCTATTGTTTGCGTTTAACTCGAGCAGAGCTGGGGAGAGGGGGTGGATGTTGCAAAGAGAGACTGGATAACATCGCTCGTTCGCACATCGTTGAAAAGTCGCGGCGCTTTCGGCGTTTCTATCGACTAATACAGAAGCGATATTAATCCGTAGGTTCGAGGCTGCGCAGCCTCTCGAATGACGCGGCGAAATCCTTTGGTTCTCGATGAGGCTCGAAAAGATCCTGTTCAGGGTGGCATATCTAGGCGAGAATAGCGAGAGGAGCGATCAACGCGTCGGTGTTGATCGAAATCCGGAGGTAGAGCGAGTTGGTGAAAGAGAGACCGAGCGAAAGGAACGAATTCGTTGGCGAGAAAGAGGTGGGGTTACAGAGTCTCGAGAGGATACTCCCAGAGGATTTTCCGGCGTCGGAGGTAGGAAAGCCCCGCAGGCTTTTCCCGACGAGAGAAGTCCTCACAATACGTCGTTACGTGGTGGCTAACCCTCCCCTGAGCGAGGGCTCGTCGAGTGGATAATCGTTTTAGGGAGGGCGCCACAGGCTCGGCCCTGGTATTACCGCCTTTGTGGACGATGTTTGAACGCCGCCGGCACTCGGGCAATCAGCTCGATTCACAATCAGCGTACTTTCCACGTCGCGACCGATCGCCGACGGAAACCGCCTCTTCGCCGATTAAGTCCTCGGTGCCATGCCGGGGACTCCTCGATAGATTTCAGCGAATCGGCCCTTTTCTCAACCCGCCAGAATGCCAGATATC